GTATATGAACTCTGTATGTTATTTATCCCTACTAATATTATGCTCATTTTATGTTGCTTGAGCTGAAATTGGGAAAAAAGACACCAAAAAATTGATATAAGGTATATTCAGACAAACACTAAGTGAAAAGAGATGACTGTGGTGGCTCATACCTTTGATCTCAGCACTCAGGAGGCAGAGGCTGTTAGAGCTCTGTGAGTTCAAAGCCAGCCTAGTCTACAAAGTGAGTTCCAGGACAGCTAAAAATGTGACACAGAGAAACCCTGTCTTGAAAAACAACAACAACAAAAATAAACAAACAAAACGTCCACCCAAAAAAACCCTAAATGAAACATCAGGGTAGAAATTTAACTTTTTACTAATTATGATATTAATGAGGAAGATGGATTGTGAAGACAACTTGCTGGATAGATCATTCATGCATGCAATCAGGTCGTATATTAAAATGAACACAGGGAACAACGAAAGAACAGGTCAGGTGAGTATTAGCATCTTCCACAAGAAATGACAAAATTAAGTAGGAAAAGAAAGTGAAAGATGTATTTTACCTAATGGGCATCATATGTTAGATTAAATTATTCTATCAAGATGTTGAAATTAAAACTCTGGAAGCATTAGGTAACTTTTAATGACACCTAGGTATTCTTGGTTTTTACCCATAATAATTTGCTAGAATAGTTGGATCAAATAAGCAAACTGTCTTAGGAGAACTGTAAAAAAGAGGTGAAAATGGTGTTAGCAGTTGGGCAGGTAGCTGCAAAAATTGTCTTAAGTCAATCAAAGATGATAGCTCCTGTGGAACAAAATGCATAACCAAACTTCTTTTTTATCAATTAAATTTTTATGACAATTTTGGAAGTGTATGCAGTACATTCTAGTTATTCGCACCCACTGCTTTTTATCTCCCTCCCGCTCTATTATCCACCCTCCAACCTCCTTGCTAGTTCTTTCTCTATATTCATGTGCCTTTTTGTTTTATGACCAATTGATTATAACCAGAACCAATTCTTTGACCATGGGTTTGGAACTAATCATTGGAGGCAAATGGGCTTACCTTTGGTGTACAACTGAAGCTGTTTACTGTTTCTCCTCATGAGTCTATTAGTAGCCAATAGTTCATCAGTGAAGGATAGGCCTGGTGATCCCCTTCTTGATCCATGATTGGTGGTTGACATAACCAGTTGTGTTCTGATCCAACGTAGGGAGTAGCATCAACTGCTGTGAGATCACACTTATTATTTGTGTCAGGCTCTGAAGCTAGTACTCCACTACCCTACTCCCTATCGTCTTGCTCTTAGTCTTTCTACTCCTGTTTCTGGGTTGTTCCATGAGACTTAGAGGGGGCATTATACATGTCCCATTTAATGCTAAACACTCAACCATCACTTATTCCTTGGTCCCTTTGACAACCATGAGTCTTTGAATTCATTGCTATTCACAATCCTGAAAAGATGTTCATGAGACAGTGAAAATGTGCCAACTGAACTATTTAAAACTCTTTTCTTTGGGGTCCTTCCATATGCGGTGTTGATACACTGACCACTCTGTTTCGCCATGCCAGACAAAACAAGTATCGAAAGTATTGAATTCTAGCCAAATATAATGAATCCATGGTGTCTTCCTGTGGTTACTGTTATCCATGGCTCTTTGTTTGGTTACTGACTTTTTGTTCTGTTTTACTAACCAGCCACTGGGCTTTTTCTTGGGGGCAATGTAGAGGAGACAATGAAACTGGACATGTGAGAAGGGAAGTGAAGGCAAATCTAAGAGGACATAAAGAAGAGTAGTCATGTGTACATTTGAAATTACAGTCTTGCCCTCTAGGGACATGAGTGTAATATGGTACCTAGGCTCATTATTGGCTAGATCTGGCAGATACTGGAGCTGGGTTTGCATAGTACTCACCCTTTTTTCTACTCCGTGTCCACAATTTCCAGTGGCCAATCTCTCTTATTTGAGGGAACAATCACAGTTGTGGGTATGTCTTTTCACCTCCCCTACGTGGCTTCAAATGTCACTTTAACGGTTTTCTTTATGACCACTTATAAGCTGGAAATAAAGGAAACGCATCTTAGGAAGTTACAGTTTCCAAAGAGACAGCTCCTTCAGCTCAGAGTAGACACAGGGAATTTGAGGCTAATTTTGCCGACAGTAAAATGTCTCAGCCCTTGCAAACCAACTTTGTTTTGTGGTTACTTCATAGTTGGCAATAATTCTTTCATTTTCCTCATGTAACCTTTTGTCAACCCTTGGTGCTTCCTGCCTGAGTATGCAGAATCAAAACTTGCTTGTGAAATGACCAGACAATAATTTTTTTAATATAATAGCTACTATGCAGGCTTCTCAAAGACAAAGAAATACAGAGAATGGGTGGACTGAGTGAACTTTCAGAGAAAAGCAGAGAAGAAAGTGGACAGATTACCAACTCAGCTAAGGCAAGATTTGTGCTTTTTCAAAGAAAGCCTTATTTAGCATTAAACTATTCAGGTACTTTTCAATGTGACAATTTAAGATGAAACCAATATGATGGTGCATAAATGCCCCTCTTGTTCTTTATACTTTATTTTTCAAAAAAGAAAACAGTAACCCTTACCATCTTCCAAACTAACTTAAACAGAAGCAAACCATACCGAATTTGTCAATTGCCACCCCAAGGGAAGGTCCGCTAGACTCATTTGCGCATTGATGCGCCTTTAAAGACCCGAGCTCCCCAGCCCTGACACTTTAATATTGTCATAGATCCAACTCCCTTCATCAGCATCCTGTGCTAACAGCATTCCGTCTTCATGTTTGGATATGTCTGAACTTATCAAGGTGATGTATGTGTGATTTTTACATGAGAAATTTATGTGTTGTTTTTTAAGCGCTAGCACCAATTAGCAGTGGCTCTCACATCTTTCCCAACAGAGAAAGACTTACTGTAGCTCTGTAAGTGGCTGTGGGGTGGGTCTCTGCTGGGATCCCTAGCCTGAGCAAGGTTGCTATACCACCATCAAGCTCTATTATCTACAGCACACAGGTATGAAGGCAGCTGGAAAAGACCCACTTTACAATCTTCCTAATGCCCCCTGAGGCCTAACTCTAAGGCTGACTCACATTGTTGGTCAATCAGTTTAAGACTGGAAAAATTGCAAACCTTTTTCTTTATTTTGTTTTCCACACACAAATGGAATAATGGGTTTTAAGTAACAATGAACCTTTAAAAAGCACAGCAAAAATAAGAAAAAAAAAGGTACTTCCCTTTAAAAGCTGTCATTCCCCCCTAGGACACCATTTTCACATTAAATAAACATACAAATGGTTAAAAGGTTACTAAAACTTCCTGCATGGGCTGGAAATAACATCTCTGGAATGAGTATGTGTATGACAACACGTATGCAGGGCACGGCTCACAGACAGGGAAATGAGAATTGAAGCACCTTGGCACTGCTAATTCTAGAGAAGCGTAAATGTCAGCCTCCAGGCAGCTTTCATAAAACAGAACTTATCTTATTTATTATAAGTAGGTTTCAGCCCTAAGTATTGTCAGGCTGACTTTTCACCATTAGAAACTAAGCATTTGCCCATTTTATTTCAAGCACGATAGATATTTTTATTTTAAAGCAGTAAAGATAAGGGTTTGCACAAATGAATGTGTAGGCCTCTGCGATGTCTGGGATATCTGCATACGCATAGTAGAAATTTTTGTTCTCAGACTATGGGGAAAATCACCAAATATATTTGAAAATTCCGTATTTTAAAAAGGTGTTAAGGAGAGCCTGTCCGATTACCTGAGTTCCAATTTAGCTACAAATGAAAGGCAGAAAAAGGCCTTAGTGGTTTCATTGTTGCTGCCCCTACTGCATTAAGCCTCATCTAATACTTCCTCACACTCAGGGAACAAAGTGTACTCTGAGTGAAGAATCCACAGCCCTCTTGGCCAGTGCTAGTGGAACTGTGTCTTTGAATATGTGTGTCAATTTCATAGATTTCTAACGAGCAGACCTGATTTTCATGTCAGCAGCCCAATTATTTCCCTGCTTAAGTATGAGGGATTCATCCAACAAGTGACAATGGTGACTTCTCTGCTTAGCTCAAGCATGACGAATTAAGCCTCAGGAAGACCAGTAAATACTACCTTCCCAGTTAGAAGACTGTACCCAGACAGTGTTCAGAGCCTGAGTGACATCAGTTTGAACTGGCTGTGGATGTGCTGTGATTATCACAGCTGGTCAAGCAGCCATAATTGATTTAGCCAAGCAAAACAAGTAGTACTGATGGTTTGGATGTTCCTAGTGACTACAGCCTCCAGGATGTTGCTAGCTTCTGGAACACACTCACTCAGGATCACTGCCCTGTACAGTGCCTGGTAGAGACCAGGCACTTTGCATACATTTTCTAAATATAAAGGAGAAAACAGGGAGACTTGATGCCTCTCAGGCCCTGCTAGGTGATATGCTGATATTTCTCGCAAGGAAGTAACTCGGACAGGAAGAAGAGCTAAAAAGTGAATTTAAAAAAAAAAGTGAAATCAGCAAAGGAGCAAAGCAATAAAATACAAGGAAAAAAATACAGTAAGCCTAACTCTGTAGGTGATATGTAATATTAGAAAATGTGTCTTGTAAGAAAAATGGTGCTTGCAAAATGTTTCTGAACACATTTGGAAACCATAGTATTGAATAAAGAAACATGCACCCGGTGCCAGCCATATAGGATAACAAGATAACCACTACCCACACTGCTGAGAGAGCCATTTGAGATGTTGGTGGATTTGTTTCTTGGGTATTGTGTTTGCAGATACAACTGCAAAGCTGTGTTCTTCTGGGTGTTTTTGTTTATTTGTTTGTTTTGGACAAAAGTGGAATCTAGAATCTGCCAGTAAGTACTGGAAATGGACTGAATCAAATACAAAAGGCTACTGAGACTGTTCCTAGTTCACTGTGAGTGCTGAATCTGCTTGATGAAATCTCGAACCTTTCACAACCACATGCATATATTTGTCATTTATCCCCTTTTCTCAGGTGCAAGGAAGGCTACCAAGGAGTCCGTTGTGATCAGTTTCTGCCGAAAACAGACTCCATCTTATCGGATCCAAGTAGGTCAAGCCTTTTTCTTCTCTGTACCGCGATGTGTAGTCTGTCTTGCCTGAGTGCAAGTCTTATCTCAACTGAATGTTGTGTTTCACTTCTGGGTCTCTGAAAGCTGCCAAAGGTAGAAAGTTGGGGAGGTGTCCGTGTTCAAAGAACAACTAGGATTAACTCAGCCTAGCTCCTCTCCCATGTGAGATTTAGCCTTCGGCTTAATGCCACCTTGCCCCTCTGCTGGGATCCAACTGCAGACAACCCCTGCCTTAGTCCTCAGGCTGGCTCCTAGTATCACTCTGTTGCAAAAGGAAGGATATAGAGAAATAGCTCATTATTACGCTATGGAATGTTATAAAACTTCATTTTCATATTGCTTCTGAGACTGTGTCTGGTAATTTGTGATAATGTTGAACTTATTAACATTTACCTTACTGAAATAAGAAAATATGTGTACAGAATTATTGAAGATGTTTTCAAACAAACTTAAAAGACCCAGCTCCAGTCTGACCACACTATTTTCTTATAAAGGATTATAATGCTGGTGAAATTACTACTTTTTTCTTCCTGAAAGAAGACCATTTTTTATAAGCCCAAATACTATTGGTTAATAGTTTCTTGGTTATTAGTTTCAGCTAGTATATGAATTTAAAGGTAACTCTCTATGTGAAAATGACCAGTTCTGGTTAAAAGTAAAAATTTTACTTTGGACTTTGGATAAATACTTGCCTCTTTCAATGGCTGCTACAACTCAATCACCACTGAAGAAAAGAGATTTTGATGGACTTAGAAATTCAGTTTAATGAAGATAATGACATACCTTTCTAAACTGTACGGCAATGTTATGGTTTTAAATATATCTATGCATCATGAGGAATTAGAAAGTGTTTTATATGGATTATAGCTAGAGATGGTCTTCTTAGTCTACCTGCATCTTATAATACAAATAACATATCTGACTGTCTTCAACATCTTTTCACAATGTGTGTATCAATTTGTACCATAAATTTCTAGCCAAATTATCTTGTATAATACAAACTTATTTAAAGAAAGGAGGGTTTTTGTTAATTTCATTTAAATGTGTTTTCTAGGCAAGACATTCACCTTGTCATTATTTGCAAACTCACCTCCTCTTGAGGAGTGTAAAGGTTGTTAAAAGGCTAACAACCAATCCAGATCTCTGTTGTGTGAAAGGTGAAGTGCCTTTTTCTAGAAATTATCAAAATATCATCATGTTAGTGGACCACCCTGTGTTTTCTTCATTTTGTAGTTGTGACAACTTGTTGAGCTGGTATCTGAAGCTCTGTTTAATTTGTTCTTGCAAACATACATTTGGGGCATTGTGATGCCTACATTGGGACATTGTGATGCCTACATAAAAAATAAAAAGCTTGGAAATTTGTTTTCTCCGATTCCCACCAAACTATTTCTTAAAGTGTCTAGTTTGTGTTTATTCTTCATTCTCTTTCCTTTTTTTATATTTCTCATTTTTTCACCCCCTTTCTTTTTTCCTTCTTTTTAATACATTTGTTTCCAAAGTAAGTTTATATTTTCTCTCTCTGTCTCTATCTCTTACCCTCTCTGTGTGTTAGTCCTGGGAAGTGATATTAGGTGGTCAAACTTTGTGACAAGTGCTTTTGCTCACTGATTTTACTCACTGAGTTGTATATCTTAGCAGCCCCTTCTTCCAAAAAAATAAATTTTATATGTGGTAGTAAAATGTTTATCAAGTACAGAATTCTAGACAAGTGTTGTAGATGATACAAAGTGGATAAAGTAATTGCTCTTTAAAGCACCTAATCAAATTTTGTGTTCCAATTGGACTCAGAAATCTAATTCAATGAGGATAATGACAGACATTTTCAAATTGCAAAGGCAAATTTTAGTCTATCGGTGCAGATGTTGAGAGTGTATGACACACACTAGTGACTGTGTGTTTCTAATAGGAAAAATATCCCTATGAGTTTTCATAGCAAAAATTAAGATGTATATGATTATTTTATGCAGCAACGGTGGGAAAGGAAATATTAGCCATAACATACAACACGTCTATCTTTGAAACATCTTAAACTTTGTCTTCTATAAGAATGACAAATGCCTGAAATGTTTCTAACATATGACATCATGAAATAGAAAACAAATTATGTAGGGCTGTAAAATGAACAGTCTTTAATATATAGTTAGAAATAAAATATATTGTTCTGCCCAAGGGGGGGTTCCTTTTAGGATTTTAGGTTATGGAATTATGTGAACTTGTTTTCTTGTTACTCAAAGTTTCTGTAAAAAGCATTATGCCTTAAGAGTCAAAACACTAGAATTCCTTGAAACCAAAATCAAGGATTTTCACATATACAGAATCTATATATGAATCCCTGAGTCATATGTCAGATATTCATCTATGTATACATTTATTTATGAGATCATTAATTCATTCCACTAGCCCTTTGTAAGCAAATACCAAATTTTTAATCATCCAGATTATGATAATATAATGAGATTTTATCTCTGAGGACCCTACCAACTAATGAGAGGAAATAACATGATATACATAAACAGTGAGATGTGTTGGAGATATCCCTTAAACCATGGCACACATATTCAGTTTCTAAGTCTCACAATTCTCATCTAAGTGAAGGCAATGATGGTAGATCTTGATGTTACACAGAGATGAAAAAAGTTGCTGCTGGGTAGATTTTAGCCCACTATGTTGTCTTCATTGTCATCATTGAGTATGCAGTTAGAGGTACTGCATGCCAGGGACTGTGCCAAAGGGCTTTCACTGGATTATTTCATTAAATCTTCACAGTCACTGACTAGTGAGGAGCACATTGGAAACTGTTCACATTTTATAGACGTGGAAATTAGACTGCAGAGATGCAAATACACTAACTCAAGGTCACATGGCCAGTTGACACTGGAGTCCCACTTCTCTTCCAAATGACTCTAGGGCCTAAGTTTCCAGCTGCTGGCTCTTTTCTGCCTCTCCTGGAGCCTTTCCTCTGCTAGCTATTTTCAACAGGACATTTATCACTCTAAATTTCATTGACTGAAACTCAATGACCTGCGGCAAACATCATTCTGAGGAACAATATTTGCACAATTTTCATATCTTAATGCAGCAACTTGAGCTTCCATCGAGATTTAAATCCCTAATGAAATTTCCTTGTCAAAATTCTTGCTGAAGAATTGTTTAATTTGCAGCTCATGATCTCTTCGGAGTGGCTTCCTGCTCAGGAAATAAGTGTTCCTTCGATACCCTCCATGTTTTCCTTCTCCGCCCTTTCTCCTCTCCATCTTTTCTTAACTTTCCCTCTTTCTTTCAATTTGATCCCTGCAAGCATTTATTGACCAAAATCCTACAATGGGGGTTGAATTCCCTGTTTGTTTCTTTTTTCCCCTAGATAATGCAGAGTTGGTCAGAGATGGGCACCCTTGAATGTATATTTTGAAAAATCACATTACTTTGCATGAACTTAGGAAAATGAGGCAAAAAATGTCACCAGGGGAGCAATAATGGCTGCTGTGACAAGTATCTGGGCCCTAAAATGTACCTGTAAGAAAAACCTATTCTTACTTATATGTACCTAATAAACTTATGAAGTATTGGGAAGTCTGATGTAAAACCAAACCACCTTGCATATGCAGCTGCCTCTTTTAAAGATTCAGTATATTGTGAGCTCCTGTCACATGAATAGGGATTTGTTGCACTGTAGGATGGTGACATTTGTCAGGATCAGAGGAGGTGATTTTCTGTGAAGAACAAGAACTAGCTTACATAGCCTTTTAGATCGTATATGTCTGCTCCATCTCGTGCTGTTTTAATCCTTTTCATGGATAACAGCCTTCAACATCCTAAACATTTCTAATGTAGTTTTTGTTATTCTCTAGAAATGCTGGGTCAGCCTATAGATTTCTTTTTTGGATCACCCTTAGCCACCAAAGTCAGATGTCATCCTCAGTCTTGAAGAAAAATGAGCAGGAACTAAAGAACCATGAACTGGTAATGGTCTGGGAAGATATGCCTAAGCCACTTGGGTTCTCACTAGAACCTTGCAGAATGATACTGATCCTGGACTAGATACCCAGCCCTTTTAAAGTTAGGACCATATCACTTAAAAGTCATTCTACACTCCTTGTGCCTTTCTCTTGTCACTATCTTCTATTCTAATGGCCACTTTTTGCATGGCCAATGCAACAGAGAATAAATTTGCAAGCCTGGGATTTGGCCAGCATATGATATACCTTAAATTCCTAGAGTTATGCAATCTCTGTGATAACTTAGAAAACAATATCCAGCTCTGGCTCATGTTATTACCAGAAATGCTGCGAACTCCAACTTAGGATATTGCTGACTACCAAGGAAACTGAGGTCCCTTCTCAGGGTGCTTAATCTTATTAACAAAATAATTTAAGATGGACTCAGAATGAATTTACAAGTTTCTTAGCTTAAAAGTAAAATTATAGGATATTGATAAGTCTCAGCAGTTTCCAGAGAAAGAAGGTGGAGACGGGGAAGAGAGAAAACTGTGACAATTGTAAGTAGCCATGTGGTGGAAGGAGAGAGAAGGAATAGCTTCAGAGAAGAAGAGTGAGATAGCACAAGTGCCCAAGACAGCATGTCTATGCTGTAGAGGGTATATAACGGAAAGAAAGCAGAACAAAGAGAAAGGGTAACATAAGACTGAAAAGGGAAAGTTGAGGCTTGTTCTACAAAGTGTAAGATGGGCGTGGTTTAGGGGGAAGAAAAGTACAACTACCTCATTGAAGTGGTAGTTATTCCTATCATCTTTTTAGTGTGGCTTTAGATGAATCAGCCTTCCTTGGTTGTGATCTCTTGACCAGGTGACTGAGAGCTTCCAGCTATATTAATACATTTTGGGTAGTTTGCACTTTGGGATCTGTACCCAGTCCAGAGATAGAACTCAGATTATATTGTTTTGACCAGAGGAAATAGATTTACCTTAATGGGCCTCAACAAGACCTTAACCAAACTATTGTAACATTCTCCTTCTGA